CTGTCACTCAGCCTGGTTCTGTCTATAGCTGCTGCCAAGTTAGTTTTTTTTTACGTCTGGAAGATGATGATTCTCCAATTGCTCCTCTAATCTCATTAATGTTATTAGTACTGTATACATCACCTCATCATCATTGCTGTGTGATGATTCCCAGCAACAGTTTCATAAAAGGTCTACTGTTCCTGCTCCATAGGCCATGTCCATACTTGTCTCACTTCTATTCTCAGCCATTGATTCCTTTAAAGAAAGAACCTTATCTACCTGTCCCATGCACCGACAACATCCTCTTTCCCTCTGAGCATAAATTCCTTGTCTTCTGAGATCTTAATCAGGGTCAGAGCATCACACATAGTGATATCGAAAAGGTCATCCAAATTATTAACAAACTCTGCTTCATTAGCTTGTTGTGTTCATTTATCTTTTTTGTATTTTTCTTTAGCTTTGCTCATTTTTTAAAAAGCTTCTACAGTTTGATAATGGTATGATGTTTTGGATGAATTGGGATTAGAGCCTTGTTACAAAAAGCTGCAGTCTCCTTCATCACAACATTTGAGCTGTTACAAACTCTTTTCTTTACTATTTTGTGATGGTATAAAAACACATACAGCTCTTGCCTATTTATAAAGGTCATTTTCTTCCTGTTAGTTTAGTTCCTTCTGACCCATTCAACCAAAGTGTATTCTTACTTCTTGTTGCAGCACACATATGCAATGACACACTGATACAGTATCAGCTGAAATAATACAGAAGAATCTGCTTAAGTGCTTATATACCTTCATATAAATTCTAAAAACTACAAGTGATAGCATGTTTTATTTATATATGAAATGATCTTAAACATTCTGAATATAAAGGAATTCTCTGGAGTATTCCAAAATATGCTACAATATTCCAGAATGTGCTAGAATATTCCATAATATGCTAGAACATTCTAGAATAATTTAGAACCTTCCAGAATTATTTGCCTATTCTGGAACATCTTAGAATATTCAAAATATGTGGATATAATGCGAGCTACTATGTAAAATTTCAACTACCCTGAACAACACTTATATGTTATTCAACTTGGATAAAATTTGGTGAATTATTTATCTATTGGAACAAAATAAGGGTGAGAGAGTGTTGTAAATCAGAATTTCTAAAATAAGGACCATCCTACTCCCATCTACTATTTGAATCCCTTCTGCCATACACAGGATCTAAACAACCTCAGTTTGGTAGCATGCCCAAGAAACAAACCAGCTATAGCACCATTAGTGGTGATGTTAGACATGGTTGAGAATTTTTTTAAATAAGATGATTTTAAATCAAGATAAGCATGTTCTTAAATACACAAAAAGGATAACAGGGAATTTAAATCTAGTTGGTTTATACTACAGATGCAAAGAAAAATCAAGAATAAATACCATAAGTAAGAACTTTAAATTTACAATATTAGCAATAAGTACTTTCAGAATACTTACACACTTCTATGCAAATATAAGAGGGAAACTTATAATAATAATATGTATTGTTCTAAGAAAATAAAGTGTTTGTTTGCAACTCACAAAAAAAATATAAATTTCATACAGAAATTACAATTCCTATCAGCAATTAATAGCACTAATTAGGGCAATACATTTAAATGAACGGTATCAAACCTCTTAAACATAAAAAGTTATTAGAAATAAAATATGCATCAATACTGAAAGCCAGAATTGAAGATTAACTAACGGTCAAAGAAATACATTGGCAAACTATATGATAATTTAGAAAATTGAAAAATATAAGATAGTAAAGTTGATAATAATGCTGCTAATAAGGGCTTTCTTATGATGCATATTAATAATCTTAACAACTAAACCATGATGTTACTATTGTACCTTACAATTTGAAATTTCTACTCTTTAAACCTACTAACTGTGCAAAGGTTGTGGCCAAATGTCTCACAGTATTGAGATTATGTGTATTGAAATTATGTGTATTGTGATATTATGTTATTATTAGTACAACTTTAAGTACAGAAGATTTATTTAACTTCTGCTTACAATACTTAGATAACACAATTACATATTTCCTTTCTCTACTACAAATATGAAGTTTCACACTGCACTTTATTTAAACATCTCCTATGCAAATATCCAAACAGTTTAATTTAATGCTTTTGTACGACAAAAAAAAATTTAATAGCAGGAATATAATTTTTATCCCATGGGATTGTGTGTGTTTGAACAGTTTGTTAGTTCTTAAAACACTTCATTTGATTTTTTCCCAATTGTAAGGGATCAAGGTCACTATCATAAAATCCTGTGTTAACATCTGTGATATGGAATGCCTCATAAGTATACTTTATATGCTTAAGCATAGGTATGTCCATATAAATTGTGTTTATGTATAGTACATAGTACATACTCATATGTATAGTACAGAGTTAGTGAAGATGTTGAAAACTAAATTCAAACCATTTTCTTAGTTGTCAGAGAGGCAAGTGTTAATCAAGCCTAATCACTCTCTATACAAAACAATATTCTTCATTTAAAATCATGGATGAAATTGAACCCAGTATTCCTAATGAGTTCCAACTAATCTTCTATAAATGAACAATAATATTTCTATATTTCAACACACAATTTCATTAGAATGGTCTCATATCTTAGTTTTGCTTTAATCACCTCAGGAAGACACTGCAAAAAGCTTCAAGGCATTTTCAATAATCACACCTTACTCCTTCAATTAGTATACTACACAAAAAATATTAGTTTTAAGACAAGCTTATAAGTTATGCACATGGTATCTCAGCTGTCCATTACTCAGAGTGGGTGATTAGTTGACTTTGCTAACAGATTATCAGGCTCATTATTTGATAACAATTAACTAATTGATTATTCTCACAAAACTTGGATAATTGGAATAATTGAAAAATGGCAATTTAATGGATTAATTATTTTCATGAGTTGTGGCTTTAATCAGTTAAGCTGAAAAATCTTGAATAAATTAAAAATAATAAAAAGGAATCATAATGGCAATATTTCAATTACTTGTAATAGCTGGAAACTACTATTCAGAAACATTAATTTTAAGTACTTAATTATTTTCATGACATAAATCTAGTTAATTGTATTTTTGATTAAGTGATTACTCTACATGACAATAACAAGTGTAAATGATAGCCATAGGTATCCAATTACATCAATTAATCAATCACCCACCTCTACTTTCCACAGTCGATATTTACAAGTTTGGAGACTATGTATTAAGATAGTACAACTTTTATTTATTTTTTTACTGAAATTCATAATTTAGATGATTATATAATTGTGTAAGTTAAGTGCTCAAGTAAGTGCATAATTTTACACTTCTCAATAATTAAATACATATTCCTTATTCTTCACCACTTGTTATTTATGTATTTAACAATATCAGGGCAGTTACATATTGCATTTTATCAACCCTACAACTTAGTACAAGTACTGTGTGGTTAAAAAGTTATTTTGTTTGTTTTGTTAGAGCAAAGCCACATTGAGCTATCTGCTGTGTCCACTGAGAGGAATTGCACCCCTAATTGTAGCATTGTAAATCCGAAGACTTACCACTGTTCTTTAGGGAGACAAAAAGTTATTGAAACTTAACAAAAGGTGGGAGATGTTGGAAAGGAATTTTGATCAAACTGAAAGCAATCCAAGTAAAACTTCAGAGCAAAATTAGGATATTCAAATAAAAAAGTAGCTTGTACTAGCTCAATTATACTATGAACTAAAACTAAAAAAAAAAAAGTATATAAAATTATTCTTGATTATCCCAAAGGGGAAGCAGTTTCTTATGGGTAATTATGCCTGTTAATATTGAATTTAATAGCTACCCAATAAAAAACAAAGTACCCTGCACCACTGATATAGTGACAAAACAGTTAGAGTGCAAAAGCCAAAACTAAAAAAGTAGCCTTTCATCTTCTAATTCAGTAATTGTAATCTATGCCTTGCCATTTTTAATACAGAAATGAACCTGACTTGAAACTTTAGAAGACCATGTCAGTTTACACGTATACAGCAGTTCTTAAACTGTTGTACGTGAGCCTGTTTTTAGTGGTATTCAGTCAGCGTGAGGAAAGATATCTGAAAACTACTCCCAATTTTTGTTTTAACTTAACGAAAATGACATAAAACTACAGCCTGAAATTGCCAAGGATAATTAATGAAAATCATTGTGAACATTTAATCAACAATAATTTTTGTCATTGATCAAAGGTGGATTAGAGATCCTTCAAGTTTATGCATCAAAAACAATTTTTCAATGTGACTTGTCCCATCAAGGTTGGGCACAGGATATGAGTGATATTTCTTGTAATTATGCACCGAAACTGAACTGAATGTGAATAAAGTGCCTTAGACTTCCAATTGGAGAGAGATGAGTAGGTGTAATAGAGCTTTAAGTTCTTTGGAGCCACCTACATTGAAGATTCCCTACTTACAATAACTTACGTGAAGCTTTCTTTTTTAAGCACTTATTGATAGCATTACCACTAACAACAATTAATTGAACTACACAATCAGACTGCAAAAGGAGCCCAAAATGCATTGATATTAACGTTCACTAAAATCTTTCCCGATACTGATAATGTGATACAAGTATAACTTAATGTGTCAAATGAGACAGGCACAACGTTCACACTAATTAACTAATGGCTGCATTAGCCGACGAGTTTTGAATTTTTACCACGATTTTATCTTTAAGTAAATGTGAGCTTAAATTTGTTAACTTTAAACTCCTTTAAAGGCTAAATGGTGCTTGATACAACTGGAAAGGGCATGCAAAAATGGTGTATTAATCACTCTCCAACAAATGCCGAGATATACTTCTCTACATTTTTATTATAACATTGTGAACTTAATTATTATTTTAATGTTTATTGTTATGTTATAGAAAGGTAAAAATTCATTACTCCAGATTAGTTTTAAATTTAAAAACTATGTGAGTATGTTATACTAGAAGTGGAACTTGGAAGAAGAAAAAAGTTAACCTACCAGATTAATAAATGCATATACAAAACATAACTCCATCTCGAAAACAAAAGGAATAATTTTAATCCCACGTCCTATATTAAACTTAAATTTTAAAACCCTAACTCAGTCAGAACACCCTCGATCGACCCACAAACTCTCGTCTCATGGAAAACTTGAAATCGACCTGTTTACACACGTATTTAATTATTTTACATATAGGGGACTATTGTCAAATTTATCATTTATAGATAATGAAAAAAGAATTTTAAAATTATCCAATTGTAACGCTTTGTTTCTTTGTTTTGTTGTTGAGCACAAAGTTATACACTGGGCATCATGTGGCCCATTGAGAGTATCGAAACCCGATTTTTAGCGTTATAAGCCCTATATATATGAAATCTAAGTATTATTGAAAGTTAATGGTTACAAGGAATTTCGTATATAGAACAGTTCTGTATACTTTTAATAAATATGAAATTATCGATTGTAGAAACTATTTGTGGAGAGCTTAGAGGTTGTTACTGTTACGCCCCCAGTCGTTAATTAATTTTCCGTAACTTCGTTCCGACGAAACTTTAGCGACACAAGTCCTTTCTTAATAAAACTGGTTTATTCTTTCCAAATACAACTTTACGATACACTTAGTTTCAACAGTCGCGCTATAACAAACGCTATATCTCACGTGGCCAACAATATTTTCTCTGACTGCAGTTCAATTACTCAATACTACACTGTTCCCGTCACGTTGTGACCATCTTATATATACCACCCTACCCCCAATCTAGTAAATGCTAGGGCATTCACGAAGGAACGGGATATTTCTAGAAAACGTGGCGTGACACTAGTCACGTGACCTCGCTGACGCAACAATAACTACAACTAATTATATGACATAAACCACGCGTTTGTTTACTGTGGAGAAGACAACTTGGATAGAACTGAGGAACACTGGGGTGGGATTAGATTCTCTGTTCCAAATTGTGAGCAACAACACAGAAATATGTTTGTTTCTTCTCGGATATTGAATGGATCATTAGGGTCACCATCATACAGAGTTCTTCTCATACAATAAAAATTTTGGCATCTCCTGGAAACCTTTTTTAAACAAACTTTTGAGGAAGAATAACCTTAGTTTTAGAATAAGTTACTCCTATATTCTGGGAGAATCATCTGATTCTTCTTTGATTTCAGATCATCCTCTCAAGGAAGCTGGAATTCCCTATTCTTCAAACCTGATGGTAAAAGAGAGATTATTGCTTTACTGCAAGTTTCACAACATGCCTGTTGATTGTGTGAACACTTTTGCAAGCACACATGCTGAAAAACCAGTTGGGTTGCGATATCTACAGCTAGTTATTATACCCAACCTGACATCGTGAGTTTATTTCATGGAAACACTTTTAAGTCTTCTGTTTTAAAACTAGGAGACTTCAACACAAATAATCTAAACACCAAGCACACTGTTTTATAGATCAATTGAAAATACTCAGTATTCAACTTCATGCAAGTGGAGGAAGTCAGGTGTACGGATTCATAGCTGAAGTGATAACACTTCCTATTACACGTTTATTAGTAAGACAATAGTTTTTACATGTTATGAATTCCTGGCTAAAGCCAGGACACTACCTGTTATATATTATAATAGTAAGATTAGCATATATAGCCGAACTGATCCTGCTTCTAGTTGGTTGCAATATATTGATAAGATAATCTTATGGTTTATCTTGCATAGTTCTAAATGAGGTGGTTACACATTGTGCTTAATATTAATTTTTTTAAGACTTTGTTATTGGTTCCTATGTTTGTAATGCTGTAAATGCTCAACATGTAGTCATTCAGTATACTAAGACTAACTTTTGGAATTTGGGAGATGGCTGTTTTACCAAGAGACATATTTGTGTGATTTTTTAAGCATAATGTTATATAACTATCAGCCCGAGGTTTGCAACACAACCTAACATATTCAGTATTGTTCAATAACCAGTAGGGTGCAATACGATATCTGACTGCAAAGGAAAGCACTCCTCATCTCATCGTTAGCTATAACTGTATTGAATACAATGGAAGGAAACTCTTTGGAAACTTCATTACATCAAAAGTTACTGTTGAGTTAAACCTCGAGAACACACCACACATGGACTTCCATAATAATCTGGTGCTACAAAATCAGGATTGGTTCTTCATTGATGTGGATTCAAAGCAAGCAGTCGCCTGATCATCAACAGCATCTTTTTTTGCGAACAGGATTCAAGAGGCATTCTTGGCAAATTTTAACACTTTTTCTGGTTAATTACAATATAAATTTTAACAGGCTTGTTTTTAAAGTGCCTTATAAGTGAGAGAAAATCCAACCAGGGCAGCAGAAAATTGGTGGGGCTCTAATACTATAAGTGTTGTTGCTGGACGAATTAAAAATTTCGAAATAATCCAGAACTTCTAGAAACCTTGTTTCTGCCATATTATACATAAAATTCATCATAGTGGTTAGTTAATAATTACTTTAGTTATTATTATATATTGTAAAACTTATTAAACAGCTACTTTTCTGCTCAAAACAAAAACAGAGATTCTATGATCTGTAACATACAGACGTTGTCTATTTAGAAATGTTTAAAAGAGCTTATTAATGTTATGCCTTGACTTCAGGCTTCAAATGGTGTCACAAGTTTAGTGGTAATCCACTGACCCAAATGAATCCAGTCAATAGTTGTAGTTTCTTGTTAATCGAACCCTACCTGCATAAATCAGGACTGAAAATCAACCCAGTAATGGATGTATTAAATTTGATATGTTTTTACTTATAATAATTTGAATGAATTTTTTCATCACTTAAGTATTCTCGTTGTTTGTGATATTTTCATATGTAATTAGTAGAGGCGTTTTTTGGGCAGTAATATGCACTTAAGTTAGCTAAAATTCGATATACTTCCTTTTGAAAGATTAAACAGTCAATTTGAAATTATAAGCTATGACCATAAGATGATTTATACTAATCTACATTGTTTAACAAAATTAACTTGACTAATAAAGTTAGTTATTAAGAGGGTATTACTGACAAAGCATATAAACGTTGTTTTTGTTAGTTTTTTACTTTAAATATAATTTGATTTAAAACTTTATTTTTCTAAGGAGTTTGATCTTAAACTCCATGGAAAATTATTTCAGCAAATTAATTTTGAGGCTAGAGATTGTGCAAAACCATATTTAAAGGATATAAGCAATATTTGTTTCTGCTGTCTTGAATAACTATATTCCTTTGTGGTAACTAGTCTTTTAGTATAAGTAATTATTGTTTTGAAGTTAGTGTTAATGTAAATCCACATAAAAACTATTACAGTACTTAAAGACCACTATAGCTTTGGACTGGCTTCACCAAATAATAACTTCTTTGGCTGCTGTAATGTACAGTGTAAAACATGTATCCCCAATCCTGTGCCACCCACCAGTTCATTTCTCTAAAAAAACTAAACAATCTCACTTTAGCTTATACACTTTATATTCTTTTAGGAAGCTGTGATAACTTATAACCTGTAAACTGAGAACAGTGAGAAATCAAATTGATGCCATGTACATCAAAATAATGGACAAGTTTGTTATACTTCTGTTGATGTAATTTTCTGCCTTCAACTGTTATTTTGTTTTTAGGGATAGATGAAGATGTTATCAGTAACTTTATGATTTCTGATATTCCCACTTGTTTATGTCCATTTCTACATTCACACTTTGTTAATTTTAGAAAGTAAATGAAATAGTGATTTTGCATCAATTCTTCATATAACGGACAACATGACAGACCGTGAGAATTAAATTTAACAAACTCATATAAGTTCTTTATTACAATTTAGCCTTTTGAGTATTATCTTAAATCATAGTTCACTTGACCATTGTTACATGCCGAAATAATGTTTTTTATGGTTATATGGAGGTAGTTTTATTTTGTAGGAAAAGTACTTGTGATTTTCACTAGACTGAAGGATATGTTTTTGTTTCATTCCAATGCTATTTGTGACAGATTCACCAATGTTTAGTTGTGACATTATTAAAAGAATTTTAATGCATCTAAGCAGTATTTCTGCATAAGGTAAAATCACTAGACATAAAAATTCTTTATAATTCCATCTAATGAACAGGAGATATTTCTTCATCATTATATATTAGGATGTGTTAATTAGTCAACAAACTGTAATGTGTGGATATTAATTTCATTATATAGTAGAATTACATCTTGTAAAGTACATTGTTTGTAAAGTTATACTATGGATATTTTTAAGTACTTCAATGATTGTACTGAAGTACTATTATTTTATAGCATAGTAGCTACATCAAAAATAAATGAGTACTTTAAATATGTTTATGTACCTAGGCTTTAATTTCAGACCTCATTCAAAGAAGTCTTAATTGACGATGCTTTTTCAATCTGTTTATAAAGCATCCTGAAATACGATATGATTAAGATGCCAAGATTAATGAAGTGGTATCATTCAACTCTTATTAAAATTTACCAGTGCAACAATATTGTTTCACCTGTGATAAATCCCGAGGCACATTTTGTGATGTATTTAAAAAAAATATATCCATTAGTTATTATCACACATGTATATTCATCATTTTATATAGGAACTTATTAAAAGGGTGATGCTAGTTTTAGTAGTTGTAGTCAAAGTGAAACATTGATTTGTTTTAACCTACATAAAGATTACTTTTGGTAGTAACATTAATATCATATCAATTGTATATGGTGCATAAGAAATATTCCCACCTTTATGTTGTTGTTTTTAATGTATTTGTAGCTTCAATAATACAGACATTATCATTTAGTCTTATAAACAGTGTTTGTTGCTGTACAAACTTTGTTTTTTTACCAGTCTAAGTTAGGTCTGGTATGTGGACTAACATGTTTGTTATATGAAATTTGATGTGTATACTTTTTTTGTATTGTCATATAATGAAAAAACTAACAGTTTTAGATAAACTATATTTGTACCTTTCATATGAAGTTGTTCATTTACTGCTACATTTTAGCTTTTTACATGTATTTCAATCTCTAAGCTGTTGGTCACTGTACAACCTATTAATTCAACATGTCAGTACATCTCATTTAAACTCTCAAGAAAGTACAGCTTTATTTATCAACATCCCACATTAAGCTAGTTCAACAGAGAAGAGTTTTAGGCACCTTCTGCAATACATGGGCCAAATGACCTGGTTGTAGACACTAAGGATTAGGTAAGCCTTCCCTAATTTAGAACTTCTGACTAGAGGGAAGACAAGCAGCACCAACTGGTTACTCTTGACTGTCATCTTTATAACACAACAGCAGACATACCCATCTCATTAAATCACGGCTAATATTATGAGTTTTATGCATTTCTTTTTTTGTTAAATTATAGTGTTATTATGTGGTCTACAAGTCTCCGTCCCTAAGAAAATTAGGTGGTCCATGAACAAAACAGTTTGGGAATCAATAGTCTAGAAATTATAACTAAATACAAAAAAACTACAGTGAAGTTTTAAAAAATACTATGAATAAAAACATTTTCTTATAGTATGTTATAAAAGTATTTAGTTTATATTTACATATCGCATATAGTAGAAGGGGAAAAGCTACATTTCCTATGTTTGAACCAAACCAAAAGGTAACCAACAACCACCATACCAGGATTATAAAGTAACGTCTCAGGGTCACTTAACAGGTGGTAGTCACTGACCTGAGTATTTGGATGAGCATGGCAGAAATTATTTGACACATGGGATCAAAATTAACATCTTGAACATGTTGATATAATATGATACTGTCTTTCATATAAAATTGAACTGTACTTAGAGTGTAGCTGACTGATATTTATATATGCTATCAAAAATTACAGAAAATAATTTTTATGCTTTTATTTTCATTAAAATAATTATTTATATCTCTGATGTAATTTCCATTTGCAAATTAGTTTATAAAATATAATCAGAATTTCTACTCTAGGATTGCAGTATATCAAAAATTGTTTCAGCTAAAATATGAACATTATTGAAAGCTAGTCAGAATATTCATTATTTGATGATACTGTTTCCTGCATAAAATACAAGCCAGTAGAAGCAAGAGAGGTTTTATAACTGGTACATGTACATTTTGTGCAGTCTCTTCTGCACTAAAAGTTGACAGTTCTTGATGCGGTATTCTCAGGTGCACTGATTTCCTCTAAGAGTATTAGAGTAAGAGCCAAAGAAGGTTCAACGAAATATGTTTTGTGGGAGTAAATCTTAATTTTCTTTCTCTGACTGAATTGTGAAAAAGAAAAACATTAGATACAAAGATAATGTAGTAAAAGGAAGTTAGCTAGTTCCATAACCAATGCTGTAGAATAAGTACTACAACACTTCCCTTTTTCCCGATTTGGGTTCAGCAATATGCACACAATACGTGCTGATTACGTGGATGTTTCATTGAAGGAAGTGATTTTTGAGGCTAAAAAATGAACAGTATTGACTGTAAAGCAACTACTGATTTTAGGTTGGACTGTGGTTGATAGAGATGAACATTTCAACATTCAGTGCAATTTCAAGTGATAATCTTCTTGTTTGCAGGGAAAGAAGCAGAAACACATTTTGACAGAAAGTTTTTACGCTTTTGTTTTTCCTATAACCACAAACTGGCTGATTGTATTATAAGCTGTGTTAGCACATTAATTTGTCTGCAATCTCCATTTCATGTCTCTAGCTAACCCCATTTCATCTATATTTGAGCTATAAAATAAATGATGTAGTAACTCGATTACATCAGTGAAGCTACAAATGGTTAAATTCTGTTTAGGCACTATAAGTGATATTCTCAGATGTAGTTTCAAATGTTTGGTCCGTTCACATGACAGGAAAGTAACAAGATCTCATTTATTTTCTGTGAAACTAATAAAAATATTCCATTGCCATGGAAGTGGGACATCTAGCCCTCTACATTTCTTCATAATTTGTGATACATGCTACTACATTGGTATGTTGTAGCAGTCTTCATAGATTCTACTTCATAATGATCGAATACCACATATTGAACAACAAACCATTTCTAGTTACTGAGTACTTTTAGTAGTGATTTAAAGTTCTGTAATAGAATTACAATATAAGGACATGCCATTTGGAGCACACAGATATATTATGAAAACTTTAAAGTTTAAACATGTTCAGATTTTTACTATTATTGCTACACAGAACTTAAAAGGGACATTAGTTGTAAAAAAATCTTCTATATGTGTACATAATTTTATTCAGTAACTTTTATCTTCTGAATTTTCAAACATTAAAAAGTAACAAAGTGTAAAATTATGCATTAATAAGTGGTATAATTATAGTTGGTAAACTTGAATGTCACAAATGCCTTGTAACTGGTCTTTCATTGAACTGCTAAAAACATCAGCTAAAGGACTCGTGTTAAATACATAGAAATAACAACAAAGACAAACTAAAACATGAAAATGGTCAGCTGGGATTAAGTGCATTCAGTTCATTGCATCTTACACGCTCTAATATATATTGTCCATTTGTGTGTTTATATTTGCTGTGAAGTCTGTCAGAGTAAAATAACTGTAATATGGAGTTCTCTAGAATATTAAATAGGACATTCTAGAAGAGAAAATGCTGTGTTCTGCAAGGTGTCTCTACCTTTCACCACTGCTAGGAACGATCTTTCCAGGGGAATTTTTTTAAATACTGAAGGAATTTAGACAGACCCTTACCCTTAACTGGATGATCCAGGAGTAAGATAATCAGGAAGTACAGGGAAAATAGAAGGTGTAAAGTTGCAAAACAAAAGCACTTCAAAGTGGATCGTTATTAGAAAATACACATCCACACCTTCACGTCAACAGATGAAGATTAAAAAAACTTTATGATGTGTTACTTGATTTATCTTAAGTAGCTAACTCAATGCTGTTTGAAAGTAGAATCCAAATAAAGATAAGAGTCTTAAGTCCTTCGCACCAGCATCACTATTTCACTTGAAATGTACTGTATGGTTTGTGTACTTCTGAAACACTAATATAGAACAAAAGTGTTGCGTGTAGTACACAGCCCTCATAGCAACACAATGAATATCTTCACATGTTTCTTACATGGGATTTCTTTTTGCATAACTCTGGTATTATAAAACCGAAGATTACCACAACTTGGGTTTAAACATTTTAGTAGGTACAGTACATATAAATGGCGAGCGCCATACCATTACATGGGAGAAGCATACTAAAAGAAAGATACACTACGAATAACAAAAAAGAAACTAAAAGAGCATGAATGAGTTATGTAGAAAATGATCATTCTTTGTATTTAAGGACCCAATACAAGACTACCAAGCACATGGAGGAGACCACTGTGATAGCTTCATATAAAACCAAGTTTTCAAAATGCATAAGACAGGTTATCTCACAATAACAGCAAATTTGATCAAGAAATAAGGAGTTTGATTCTCATTAAATAAGCTAACCAATTCTTTCTAGTGTGTGTGTCAAATAATGAGACTTGACGAAGTTGATAAAAATAAAATCCTCGAAGGCAGACTAGACTTACCTATTATAGAGAACATAGAAATAAAACAACTAGAACAAGGTAATCTTATTGGCTTTGTTGATCACATATTGCATTCATTACAGCAGGAAAACTAAATAAAAAATTGAAAAAAAATTCTCTATTACTAAAGCTGCTAGATGCAAATCAAAAAGAGCAAAGGTCCTAAGACTGAACCCTGAGGTACATCACTTGGATGGACTTTAATGGGACTACATTTTATCTTGCCTTGACAGAGGTGTCACACAATATCGGGTAAAGCAATAAATCACTGACATTTTGTTAAAATTGTTCCAATGGGAATGTAGTGTGGAGTGAAAGGTTGAGTTACAGGTATGATTTTTTAATTGTTTTTCATTAATTATGATCTAAATAATTGAATTTGCTGTGTAAATCTACTAATTTGAGACTGTAGAATCCAATGGTTTGTGAATATTTTTTATTTTCATTATTTAAAAATCACTGAAACCCCTATATCCAGGCTTCCCTAAAATACAATAATTACAATGTTTTAAAACTATTTTGTGATTTATAAAAATGAAATGTCAACCTTGTTTATATATACAATTAACTACCTGCACCTAAATCATCACATTATTCTAATCTATCTCTCAAACAAATTTTTATCTGCTATAATTAGAAACAAGTTTTCACAACCTTCATAGTTTAGTCTACTCTGGGACACAAATTAATTTGTGGTGCATATTTCAGGTACGTATTGGGGATAAACTATTTTACTCTGCACTAAAAGAAATGTGTATGAAACTTGATAGGAAACCTCACCTGTACCCAATTCACAGTTTATTACATGTATTATTATTATTATTATAACACCTTATCTAGTAAAATTTGATATCATTGGTGACAGATTTTAGCACAAAGTCCTAAATTTAGTAATTTATTATTTGCTATTGGCATTTTTCCCACTAAAAAAATTACCCACTAATGTAATTCATAAAAGTTTCAAGGGACAAAAAGGAGCTAATTAGCCCATTAAGGATGTCCCTTGCAGATCCCCAACTACAACCACTTCTAACTAATCATGTATTCATCTAACCTTTTCTTGAATTCAGTTAAACTTTCTGCCTTTACCACCCTTGAAAGCAGCTCATTCCAAAGGTCAACCACCATTTGAAAAGTACTGCTGTCTAAACTGCAGACGAGATTTCTTAAAAATATTTTTCTGCCAAAAGTATGCAAGTTAACAAAAGATTTTATATCGTAATAAGTAAATTGTATTATAACTATACCTAAAATATATTCAAAATATTCAATATTTTATACTTATTGAGTTAAGAACAAATAAAATTTTTCATGAAAACTTTAATATTTAAAACGATCATTTTAAAAGTTGTATAAGTTAACACTCTTTTATTCATTTGTTTATAATCTGTAAGAATAATAAGTTTATAAGTTTTCTTAGCTAACAGATTCTTATAGAGAATAATATCCTGTAAAGCTAAAATCATAATATATTAAACCTAAAATAAAATTTACATTTAAAACTCAAGTTCAATGATAAACATTTGTTCAATAATTTACCTCAATTTAAAAGTGTAAAAAATATGCTGAAGTAAAAATTCATAAATTGTCCATAAAATCGATGGTATCAACTTCCTCTGACGACTGTTGAGCAGCAGAATTTAAAGACTCAGGACTTGCTCTTTTTGGAATCTTTGGAACAGATACACTTGGTTCATCACTTGTAACAAACCTTCCATGTTGCTTTGGTCTGTGTCGAAATGATGATGATGTAGGTATAGCAACATCCAAAAAGTCACCATCAGCTGCACAATTTTTTCCCACAAACTTTTGTTTGTTTGATCTAGTTACATGATTTTTTTCATCAGTATCATTATAATCACTTTCAATTTCATCACAGTTACCAGCAGTCATTTGTTGCATTGATGCTGACCTATCATCTTGAATAGAATTTCCTATACTGCAAGTTTGTAAAAGTTCTTGTAATTTTTCTTTCTTTCCATTTAAGAGAACAACAAACTTTGCAAACAATTCCTCTTCTATCTGACACTTACATGCGACTGCTTTTTCTAGTTGTACAAGTGCTTCTTTTCTCTCTTTTCTCAAACGAAGTTCTGCTTCCTGTAGACTGTTTATTATTTTGTGATTGCTCATCATTTCTTCTGCTACAAATGTCAACAAGGAAGAAACCGCTAGTTTGTTTTCTATTAGTATTAGGGGTATAGACCCCAAAGTGACTTTGATTTTATCTTGTTGTAAAAACTTTTTCCATGTGAGCATAGGAGCAGGTTTCACATTTAATGAATAAACAAACTGGTAATCACCATACTTGTTAAAAGTAAATGCACTGTCAGCATATACCTTAATATCTTCTTCTGACATTTTCATATCTTTTGCTATGGAACTTATGATTTCATTAGTAACCCATCCTTTGTAAACCGTTACAGTGTCCGTTAAAGTCAACTCATATCTTTCTGGGCACTTCATTGTCCAGAGAAAGTAGTCACAAGCAGATTTTTCTTTCTCACAATCTATTTCTATTTTTTGTAGAAATGATGTAGACATTTTAATCAAATTTTACTTCTAAGTTCTAGGCACTAAACGAAGTTATTGGAAATCGTAACCTACAGCAATAAATATAGTTATTGTAATTTCGTTGAGCCTAAAGATTTAACACATAGAATTAGAATAGTGTAACATTATTTATTTTAATCTTAACGATTAAAAACGTTTTACCCTGTTAGGCCTATCAAGTTATCACTGTACGGTGTACAACTACAATATCTTTTTTACTATTTTAATGTTCCCATCATTAAGCCCTACAAAAACCTTCATATCTGACATCACTGTTTATTTTCTCTTGGCATACCTTGAAGCTGTAAAAACACAATTTAAAAAAGAATAATAGGCAAAAATTTCTTTCCTTCGATATTCAAGTCTATCAGTAAATTCGAGGAGTTGGTAAAGCACGTAACAACGCAAAAGTACCCGAATAAACCACTAAATAAACTCTCGTCGCCAAATGCCTTTTCTTGCTTAGGCAAAACAATTCGTAATCATTCTCCGTCAAAATAAGCACAATCAACAACGTACAGAGTAGTTACAAGGGCAGCCAGATACCTGGAAAATAGATCATATAAAATGTAATTAACGACAGTATACTGATGTAAAATGTACATGAAAATGAAAATGAATGAAAACTTAAAAGACAGTGACTTAAAGATATTACTTTAAAAAAATAAAATACTGATTGTCCTTATGGTATTGTT